GAACCCACCAGCCACTCCAAAGGAAAAAGATGAGTCACTTTGCTTCTGTAAAGATTTACAGCCTTGGAAACCCTATGCAATTCTACTCTGTCCTATAGGGTTCCTATGAGTCAGAATTGACTCATAGGCAGTGGATTTGGTTTTTTGGTTTGGGATAGACATATCACATTTGGTTTATCCATTCATCTGCTGATGGATATTTGGATTGTTTCATTCCATCTCTTTTGCCATTTTCTCAGAAAGATCTTCCTTGCCCACCAAATCTAAGTCTATTCCAGCTCATTGTATTCATCATATTCATTTTCTTTGTAGCCCTTAACCTAACTTGAAGTGTATGTTTATTGTCTATTTATTTTGAAATTATTGCTGTAAAACAAGTTTATAACCTCCATGAGTGAACAGATCTTGACTATTTTGTTCACTAATGAAACAGCCATTTGTACAAAACTCATTTGTTACATATTTTGTAAATAATTTCTTGTACAATTGAAAACACACTAGCCCTGTCACATCTTTTGTTTTATAGTAAGTAGTGGAATAAGGGAGGGAAGAAAGAAAGACTGATGCTTGTTTTTAACTTTAAATTTAAGTCAAATCAGTTAGTCTTTCCATCATGGCTTTAGAAATTCCTATTGTGTGTATTTTTAACTAGTTCCTTGTAACATATTCCCAGACATGGAAAAATTGGATCATAGAGTATACATTTTCTTTAGGGTCCTGAAAGTTTTTTGTCAAATTGCCCATCCTCCACTCTCTGGCAAATGTTGTGGTTTGCATTCTTAAAAGCTCTACCAGTGAACTTATGTTATTAGATTATGTTATTAAGTCATCTAACGGAAGGTAAGAGGGCCCCTGAAATAGTTCAGATATCAGATGCTTCAAATAATGACGTTGTGTTCCAAACATCCTACAAGGTAGAAGTTTTGAGTGTCTCTACATTGTCATCAGATAATTTCATAGCCCTCTCATGGTTTACCTAGACTCAAACGAATGCTCAGATATGTCCATATCCATTGTCCCCAAATAGTTTTTCTTGTTTCACCTCTGTTCCAACTGGATTACCTCCAAGACATGTGTTAGTCTGAGAATGGAGTGCCGTTCTCTTCCCAGGACACGTTCTAATCATGGTAATATAGAGAATCTTGGCCAACTAGGTAAACAACTTGACCTGACCATTCCAGCCCAGTTACCATAAATGATGCCAATTATAACAAAATAGTTCCCAACACACAACAATGACATCAAAGAACGCAATGCACTATGAGAGTAGCCTGGTAAATATTACTGGCTAGGATGACATAGAGGCAAAAATTTGGTGACCTCAGTTCACACTTAGCCCTTAGCCATCTCTGTGAATATCATATGACTCCACATAATCTGTAATCATCTAAAAATAGGGTAGTAGTGCTGGGTAATCCAGGCTCAGTACTCAGTGGACTATGGGAATGGGGCCTCCCTATATTAGATCTACCTGGAAGGAAGGTTGGGCAATCCTACTTCCGTAGTGATACTGCCTCGGAAACCCAAGGAGGGGTCGCTATGAGTCGGGGCCAACTCAATGGCAAATAACAACAACAACACAACAGCAATGCATAATTGTCATTGTCTTCCCTCTGCAGATTAAAGGGGATAATTCTTTGAAATACATACTTTTGCCTATTTCAGATTCCAAATTCATGGTTGTAGTTGTTGTTATGTGCCATCAAGTCGGACCTGACTCATAGCGACCCCTCCTTGGGTTTCCGAGGCAGTATCACTGCAGAAGTAGATTGCCCCATCTTCCTTCCGAGGAGTGGCTGATGGGTTTGAACTGCCAGCCTTCTCGTTAGCAGTCAAGTGCCTTAGGCACTATGCTCCCAGAGCTCCCCAAATTCATGGTAGGAAAAGCAAATATGACTGCTGAGGGTAACTGACTCCATGCACTTTGTAACCGGCCCTGTATTTCCACAACTGTTTTAGCTCGAATAGATTCTTGAGTTGATTTTGTTCTGCTTCACCTAAGGACAGTTACTAGAATCTTTTCTTCCACCCCTGTATCATTCCTTAAAGTTTCTAAGAACCCAAGCCCCACTCTCTGTGTTGAAGGATATGAAATCTGAATGTCTTCCTGGGCTGTTTCTCACAGATGTGAGCAAATATTTGGACACAAAGGGAAGCCACAAATCCTGGATGATCAATAAGCAACCTATAAACACCGAAAAAAAAAAAGCAAACAAATAAACAAAAAATAACAACAAACACTTGCTGTTGAACTGATTCCAACTCATGGTGACCTTATGCATCAGAGCAGAACTGTGCTCCATAGAGTTCTCAGTGGCTGTGATCGTTCCAAATTAGATTACCAAGGCTTTCTTCTGAGGCCTCTTTGGATGAATTGCCATCTCCAACTTTTCAGTTAGTAGTTGAGTGCTTATCTGTTTGCACCACCCAGACAGGGAAGAAAACAGTATGGGCAACTTAACAAAGCCAAAAATAGTTGGAACACTACTGTAGAACCCCATACAAGCAGGCCACACTTGTGATAAAGGTTCATCGAGTACTGGATCAGCTCCCCAGTAATGGTGGTGAATTCGAGAGGTACAAAACTGTGTGCTTATTAGACATACAAGTGGAGAAGTCAAATAGGTCATAGAACAACTGGAGCCTAGTTGTCAAGGAAAGTCTATGCTGAAGAGAAAGAAAGAAAGAGAGAGAGAGAGAGAGAGACAGAGAGAGAAAGAATGACAGACAGACAAACAGACTGCCATCAGGGTATTTCTGACTCATAGCGACCCCTCATTGGGTTTCCAAACCTGTAAAGCTTTACAGAAGTAGATTGATTTATCTTCCTCCTAAAGAGCAGCTAAAAGGTTTGAACCACCAACCTTCTTGTCAGTAGCCTAATGCCTTACCTACCATGCTACCAGAGCTCCTTATGACTAGTCCTGTGACTGAGTGATATCACCTAAGAGGGACAATAGTGCCTAGGATTACTTACACCTCTCAGAGTTCCTGCTGTTGTTGTCATATGCCATCGAGTCGTACCTGACTCATAGCGACCGCTCCTTGGGTTTCCGAGGCAGTATCACTACGGAAGTAGGATTGCCCCATCTTCCTTCCGAGGAGTGGCCGGTGGGTTTGAACCTCCAGCCTTCTGGTTAGCAGTCAAGTGCCTTAGGTACTATGCTACCAGAGCTCCCCTCAGAGTTCCTAGTTCTGCTAAAATGCAGAGGCAGGAGGACAAAAGGGATTGTTCCCATTCCATTGAAGTTGTAATCAACTGTCTTTCTCCCAGAAGGAGCTCTGTGGTGTAGTGGGTAAGAATTTGTATGCTAACCAGAAAGTAAGTGGTTCAAATTTGCCAGCTGTCCTGTGGGAGGAAGTTGAGGCAACAGCCTTAGCAACTCAATGGGGGGGGGAGGGTGTCACTATGAGTCAGAATCGATTCAGTGGCAGTGGGTGGTCTTACTCCCAGTGCCCCAAATATTGTGGCTTTATTCTTTAGTGTCTTTGGAATGTGTTGTGTGTATGTATGCATATTGGGAAAGGAGAGCAATTTAGTAGGGGACTTTTATGAGTGGCTGTGGTGAAAATGGTTAAGTGCTCAGTTATTAACTGAAAGGTTGGAGGTAAGAATCTACCCAGAGGCACCTGGGAAGAAAGGCCTGGAGAGCTCCTGAAAGATGACAGCCATTGGGAACCCTAGAGAGTCCTACTCTGAAACTCAGGTGTTGGGCATGAGTTGGAATCCACTCCAAGCAAATGTGCTTTTTTTTAAAAAAAACAAAACAAAACAAAACAAAACAAATAATGAGTAGCAACTAACTGTACAAGCAGGATAGGAATCACAAAGAAGGCTCAGACATGGTCCCTACCCTGATCTCCTTGGGGTAGGAAGGGGTGCTGAGAGGGAAAATGCAGAACATAAATGCTACAATGGAATTTCATGAGTGACAAAGACCATGTTTGGAAGGAAAGGACAGAGGTGATCTGGGAAGACTTCTTGTAGCAGATCTGTGTGCTAGATATTTAAGGTGGAATGGAATGTCCTAGGTAAATATTTGGACTAAAGGCATTTCATACTGGGAAACAGGATGAGCAAATTCTCAGGATAAAAAGTTGCATCAAACTGACAAATTGATTCCCTTTGGTTTTTGTTTGTTTTTATTTACCAGAGTTAAACATAATGAGGAGAATATATTACCGAAGACAAACAAAGCGATGTTTTGTGTTTGTGTTTTGTTTTGTTTATCGTCACAGGGAAAGGTACATACATTTGGGCAGCTCTTCAAATCTCAGCAAATGTAACTTCCAGTTCCTGCCGTGTGCTGTTCGTTCCTGGAGAGACGCCCGGAGAACGCTACTCGCTTCCTCGCCCAATGGCAAAGAAATGCATACTTTTGCATGCAGCCAATTGGTTACTGTAAAAGGCCCGCTCCGCGCACGGACAAATGAGTACCCGGAGCCCAGATTCTTGGAAATAGTTTATCCTCAGGAATTCGTGACTTTGAGAGCCTCGGACTCGTAAACAAGGACGAGTCTGGGCGGGACCTGGGACCCTGTCCCAAGCTGTTGATCTGGAGCCCACTCAACGTGCCCCAGCATGGCCTCGTCCCACCCGGGCCCCTCATAGCCCCAGGCAAGGGTCAAAATAACTTCTCAAGTATCCCGGCTGGGGCAGGGCCCAAAGTTCTTTTCTGAACTAATTGGCGCAGTCCCAAATTTAGAACGCATTTCCAAGTCCCAGTGACTCCGCCCAGTAAGGGGTGGAGGAAAAGTGCTGGGAGACATAAAACAGCTGCAAAAGGCTGGAGTTTCAAGATGCGAACTTGACTCTCGAACTGCTACAGCTCGAGAACGACTGACTGCTCGGCTCTTCCAACCCGCGACACTATAGAACTAAGCCAAGGTCGTAGTAGTAAGCTCTCCAGCCCACCTGCCCTACCCCAACACGGGTTTTGCTCGGGGCAGGCTTCACCTCTGAACCTAGCCCCAGCCTCTGCCTGGCTCCGTGAGTCAAGATGAAGGCGGCCCGATTCATGATGCGCAGCGCCGGCTCGCTGAGCGGCGCTGGCCTGGTCCCACGCGAGGTCGAGCATTTCTCGCGCTACAGCCCGTCCCCACTGTCTATGAAGCAGCTGCTAGACTTTGGTGAGTGGGGCTCAGGGTCCGGGCGGGAGCGCTGGCACTGGAGAACTGCCTAAACTTTCAGTCGCTGGACCTAGGGCGCGTGCGTGTGCGTGTGCGTGTGTGTTTGTTGGGTGGTAGGAGGTGTCTTTGCTAAGGCAATTGAGGTCCGTTTTGCTATTGAGCCCCAGAGCCGCAACGCCTGCCACCTTGCCCTTTCCTAGATTTGGGTGCTTTTTGACAGTGCCCCCAGGCAAAGTCACCTGCAGCCCCACTGATGCCTGCTGGTTTGACCTTATCTTTCTTTTTTTCTGTCCAGAGCTTCCAGTCAAAATAGTTTTTGCTCTTGGTAACCATTTAACAATAAACTGGAAACTTTCTTTATCCTCTTCTCAACAGCATAGTACTTTTTGGAGATTATAGCTATATCTGTATATATACATGTACAGATTTCTTATCTTTTTCTGCCATCATTTTCCATATATTTACATTACTGCTGGACACACTTGCTGCGACAATAGGGAAAGTTTCCAGGGTTTAAATGTGATGTTATTTATCATTAGTCTGCAAGCATCACAACTCCCACCCCACTTTTTTATCCTCCCACCCCAATTTCACGTCACGTAGTGGAAGTTGTGTCGTTCACATTGCACTTTTATATGACTATTAAAAGTTGTGGGATATTTTGACTTCTTGGAAAAGAATCTCCTTCAAACAGAGAAAACAATAATTTGTTTATATTGATCCCTTAAGAAAGGAAAGAAAAAGACAATGAAGATACCTGCCTCTCAATTATCTATAAACAGTAACCCATCTAAGGACAAAATATTATTATGTGTGTGTGTGTTCGTTATTCAATAGTTAATGTTATTCAAATATATCACTTAGCCATATTTAAAAATAAATAAATAAATATTTGTTGCAGGTTCGGAAAATGCATGTGAAAGAACTTCTTTTGCATTTTTGCGGCAAGAATTACCTGTGAGGCTAGCCAATATCCTAAAGGAAATTGATATCCTCCCTGATCGATTAATAAATACTTCTTCAGTGCAATTGGTTAAAAGCTGGTAAGTGGTAAACCCTTCTGAAGCAGTCTCTAGTTTTAAGACAGTTACCTCATTATGAATATATTACCATCTAATTGGAAAACAGGTGATCTGAGCAGAAAATACTTCAGAGAAATGTAAAGAGTTTTTTTTTTTTATTATTAACATAGAGTTAGTTATCATCAGGACAGTTACAAAGCTATAAACAAATATATTACCCTGAAAAAATTACATACTTTTACATTATCCTTACTTCCAGAAAAAATATAGAAATACACCATATTCTGTTTTAATTTCATATTATAAATAATGAAAGACAGAGTTTGATATTGCAAAAGGAATCTTATGCCTAACAGCTAATGTGAATGGCTACTATTTAGAGAAGGCTAATCTTTGTTACTTATAAAGCAGTTCACAGAGTGAGCTCAGGATTCAAATCCTGACCTGACCACTTCTTAGATGTGGGACCCTTGGCAACTATCTTAAATGGTTTGTGCCTCAATTCCCCCATATATTATAGAGGACACTAAAGTATCTGCCTCAAAGAGATGTTTGAGTGTAGTCCAAGGAGGTAATTCATAAAAAGAGCACTTAGAGCACTACTTGGCACAGATCTGGGACTTACTCGGTGTCAGTTATTATCATATTCGTTTTACGAGTAAGAATACTGAGATTGAGAGAGGGTAGCTAAACCCAAAGGAGATTTTCAGAGAACAAAGACAGGATATACACTATAGCATCTCACACAAGAGCTTCACCCTGATCTACCGACTGACTGCATAGCTTTTTGTCCATTACTTCAAGAAATATGTGTATTATGTACCCTTAAAATGATTATGATCAAAAACACATCTCATCCACAATTTTTATTGCTACTTTCAAGACTTCTGCTGTTCTACAAATGAGTGTAGTAGGAACAACTAAGAAAAAGTTATTTCTGAGTGTTTTTGGTATAAGAAATGTAAAATTTTCCAAACAAAAAAGTCAAAAAACTGCATACTGACCTGGAAGCACTAAAGAACATAAATTTTAAGTTACAAAGTTGAGAAACATAAATTTAAAGTTAGAAAATTGAGGATTAAAAGTTGTACCTTTCTTTTCTTTTTCTTTTTTCTTTTTTTTTAAACTTACTGCTCTCCAAATGTGTTAGAGGAGAATCTTAATTTTAAACATACTGCTTACTTTCTCTTTTCAGAGTATTGGAAAAGAACATTTTATTTTCAGCTGGAGGTTCAAACCCACCAGCCACTCCTCAGAAGGAAGGTTGGGCAATCTACTTCCATAGAGATACCACCTTGGAAACCCAAAGAGGGATTGCTATGAGTTGGGACCGACTCTACAGCAGTGGGTTTGGTTTGCTGGTTTTTCCATCTATTCAATTTTAAAACTTAAAGCACATTTGTCACTTTACAGGTATATCCAGAGTCTGATGGACTTGGTGGAATTCCATGAGAAAAGCCCAGAGGACCAGAAAGCATTATCAGAGTAAGCGAGCTTTATGCATTGGAATATTTCAAACTTCAGTGATTTCTAAACATACTCCTAAGATTTTAGAACTATAGGAAGTTTAAGCCCTGAAAAATAAATTAACAACACTCTTCAAGATAACAAGTTATGGCTCACTGGTTTTTCAGAAGTGTGGAGGTATAAGGCATTGAAAATGATGCTCAGTATGAACAAGGGTAGAGATCTTGATTTTTTTACTTAAGGAAATCTCATTTTACTATAAAATTTAGTCATATGATTAAACTTGCAAGAAGATTTACTATTATATGACATTAATACATTTCAATGATCTTGGAGACTAAACATTTTCTTTCAAAGTAAGTTTCTAGTTATCTAAATATCAATCTTTTCTAAATATGACAAGAAAATTTTGAAATTTTTATCAGGGTGATATTCTAGCATTGATCTCAATATTAATTTTTAAAGAGAAGAACTTACTAACATTTAATGAACACCTATCATGTATGCTTCCATTATAGAGCTAGATTATTTTTGCACGTAAGCTAGAAGCAAAAAAAAAAAAAAAAGAACTTTTTCGTCTTCTTTACTATAGTGGAAGAATCTATAGTAAGAACCCTAATAACCTTGATATTTAATCATTTGATTTGTTAAGATAGGTACTAAAAAGACCTTACACCTTCTTTGAAGTAATTGATGGCATATAAGTGAATGAAACTTAGTTGAGCTTTCACTAATTATAAATGTTACGGCTTAGTTTTGTAGATGCACTCATCAAAGTTCGAAACAGACACCATAATGTAGTCCCTACAATGGCACAAGGAATCATAGAATATAAAGATGCCTGCACTGTTGACCCAGTCACCAATCAAAATCTTCAATATTTCTTGGATCGTTTTTACATGAACCGGATTTCAACACGTATGCTGATGAACCAACACAGTAAGTTAACTCATTGTGATCGTCATATATAAAGATGGGGGTAGAATATGAACTATACTATAACTAGATATTTTACTAATTGTTGGGTCACAATCTTTCTTGTGGGGTTCTAATAATTATTATCCTGATTTTTAGACATTTTTTGTTTTTATTTTTTGACAGTTCTTATATTTAGTGACTCACAGACAGGAAACCCAAGCCACATTGGTAGCATTGATCCAAACTGTGATGTGGTGGGAGTGGTCCAAGGTAATGTCAAGATTTTTGCCTTTCCCTTATTGAACATATACAATATTTGATTAATGTATTTATGATTGAGGTGACTCTTTGAATAAGTTTATATTTTTATAAAAACTATCATCAAAGTTCATTGCTTTTGAGAGTTAGGATTTTAAATATTCATTTATAATATTATAAAAGATCCAAACATCAATGGTTAATATGCCACAGTCTTCTATATTGAATTGGATTTCTGAAGTATGTATATTCTCTTGTTGCTGTTAGATACTGTCTTAAATTTTCCTTCAAATATTTTAATATTACAAAGGCATTTTTTTCTATACATACTGTGGTGAATATTTTAGATTAAGTGTAGTATAACATGCTGAAGATCATTTGAGAATTTTAATTAGCATAAATCCATTGCGTCGTAATGAAAAAATTTTTTTCTATTCTAGATGCCTTTGACTGTTCAAGGATGCTTTGTGATCAGTATTATTTAACATCTCCAGAATTAAAACTCACACAAGTGAATGGTAAGCTATAAATAAAATATATTTTAATGTAGGCAAAATACAATATTCTGCCCCCCCAAAAAATAATCTCACTGTCGTTGAGTTGATTGTGACTCATAGTGACTCCTCCTTGGATTTTTGAGGTGGTATCACTATGGAAGTAGATTATCCAATCTTCTATCTGAGGAGTGTCTGGTAGGTTTGAACCACTACCCTTCTAGTTAGCAGTTAAATGCCTTTGGCATTACACTACCAGAGCTCCCAAAGCAACTTCAGTACTCCTTTTTTCCCTTCTAAACTTGTCTAGAATTTGTACACATTTTTTTTTCCTGAAGCCAAGTTTCTTTTTAACTATCCCAACTGGGAAGTTAAAACTGAGCATATTCATTTGCTAATGATGATTTAAAAAGAAGAACGAGTTGAACAAATAATTTGGGATTTAGAGTAGCAACTAGCTTACTAAATCAAAATGCCTACAGAATATGGGGAAATGAGGAGGCCAAAAGTCAGGGGGAGTCACTGAGCAGTGGAAATCTACTTCTAAAAAGGTGACTCATAAGACCTGGAAATAGAGGTCTTTAAATTGTACTATGAGTATATACTACTATTTTGGAAGCAGAACAAACATCAGAAGCTTCAACTCTATGTTACCTGAAAAGACAAAGTCTTCCTACCCTGACTGTAGTGATTACATGATGAATTCAAGGCATTATTTTTATCTTACTCTATTTTGTTCTAGAAGACAGTTGTATCTCAAAACTGCTTAATTTACTCAAATTGGAATAATCTTCTCCTTTTCATTCAAAGTAAACATCTTTTCTAATAAATTTGAATAGGAACAACATTTGTTGATGGTCAGAATTAAAATCAAGTAGTTTGTGGTGTAGTGCCTAAGGCATTTGACTGCTAATCAGAAGGCTGGCAGTTCAAACCCACCAGCCAATCCTCGGAAGGAAGGTTAGGCAATCTACTTCCACAGTGATACCACCTCAGAAACCCAAGGAGGGGTTGCTATGAGTTGGATCCTACTTGCCAAAGAGGCGGGGAAGCCACATCTTCTGACCTCCTCTAACCCCCCAAGAGGAAGACAGAATCACCATCAGCAGCCCAAGACCTATTCCTGTGAGGCCAGACATGATGCCTCCCTCCAGCCCTTTGAGGAGCCCTGACACCAACCTTTCCTTCCACAGCACCCACCACCTCTCTACTGGGTTCGATAATTCGCTGCAGTGGCCACACAGAACTCACAGATTATGGGGATTATTAGGGAAGCACCAGGCTACAATTCAAGTTCAGGAAAAACACCCAGTCGCTCTCAGCCCACCGTCTCTCAGGCAACAGTGTCTCTCCCAGCAGTGTGTGTCTCTCAGTGTCTCTTTCTCAGCAGCACATGTCTCTCAGGAGGGCGTTTCAGCAGCACGTCTTTCTCAGCCAGCAGTCAGAGAGACTCCTTCTGCTTCTAGGAGAGCTCCTTTTGAGCCTGGCAGAGTGGCCAAACTAACCAATCATAACATCAGAATTCTAAGCACCTGAGAGAGAGTGAACTTCCCAGAACATTGCTTTGTGCCACTCTCAATAGAAATACCCCAGGTGGATAACTTTAACAATCAGGAGCTCCTCAGTTGCTCATGGCAAATTCCACCACAGAGTTTACAAAGACTTATGGCTAGAAAAGCCATACCAGGTAATTTACTACCCCACACTACTCCACGGTAGGGAGTGAGTTCAAATTAAGAGAGTAGCCTAATTCGTAGATTTTAAGTATACAAATGATGAGTGAAAACTAAACTAATAGTACAAGTTGAGTACAGAAGTACAAGTAGAGATTGAAAAGTATCTCTAAGCATGAAGAGAGTTGTTGCATAACACATGTAGATAAACTGCTTGAACTGTTTGATCAAATAAAGAGAGAATTATGGCAGACCTTATGTTTTCTGACTCATACTTTGCCAAAGCCTGGGATGCTGAAGAATATACTTTTTTCTTTTGAAGCAGTATTCACTATGAAGTTTTTGTGTCTCTATTTTCTTTAGCCTTTTGGTGAAATTTAAGAATATTTAGCATTGAAGATTTAATGTTTGGTTGGTATAACTGTTTAGAATAATTCAATGTGTTATTTGCTTTGACAATAGAAAAATTATAGCTAGTATAATTTAAGTTTTACACTATAAACACTTATAGTAATTTTTTCTTTTCTCTTGAAATTCATAAAAGTTTAACTTTGGAATTGCCTAGTATGAAAATATTGTAAATAGGAACAACCAATGTAATCTAATTTATAGTACTGTTGTTTTATACTCCATCTTTATACATTTGCAGAGAAATGCAAACATTAATCATAGAGCAATAGGTAGCAACTGTAAAGGCATTTTTAAAATAACCCTACTGTATTTACTGTTTAAGTGGGAAAGCTCTAGGGTAGGAGTAGGATTTTAGGGTGGGGAGTGTGGAAAATATTCCAGCACTGAGTTTAAAAATATCAATCAAATATATAGAGAGATTTATTTTAATCAAATATTTGCCTCCCAATTCTAAATGAGTTTTATTTTTCTAGGAAAATGCCCTGGCCAACCAATTCACATTGTGTATGTTCCTTCTCACCTTCATCATATGCTCTTTGAACTGTTCAAGGTATGAGACTTCACAATAATTGCAGCTTTGTCTTTAAAAAAAAAGTCACTGGATATATTTCTATTTCCTTTATCGTTCCCCACTAACTAAGAGCCTTACTGCCTTCTCCCAAGCATGTGTCTGTGCTCTTAAGAGAAAGAAGCCACGTTTATTGTTTACAGGGAACTTGCCGCGCACTGCAGCAATATATTTGTGAATGTACAATTATGATTCATGTTATTGCAATGCTTTAGAGCTGAGAAGATCTTCCCATTATTTGTCCAGGTGTCCAATAAAGCCCTGATCATTCATGCTTTCATTAATGAAGGTCATGGGGTGAGTGCTTCAGTGAATGAGGCCTTGTTCCCTCTACCCCCACAGGCTGGTCCAGCTCCAAACCCAGAGTCTTAGATCCAGAATTACTGAGTCTCAAATATACTCAAACGACAGCCAATTACTTCAGTGATCTACTTTAAAGTGCCTATGACTCACCTGGGGATTTTGTTAAAATGGAGATTGTACTTCAGTAGGCCTGGAGGTGGGGAGGCTGAGATTCTGTATTTCTAATAAGCCAACAGATGATGTTGCTGATCCAGAGTCCATCCTTGCTGTAGCAAGGCTGTAACGCAGTGCTTCTCAAACTTCCGTGTGCATTAGACTCACTTGGAAGGCTTGTTAAAACACAAATTTTTGAGTGTTGCCCCTAGAGATTTTGACTCAGTAGGTCTGAGAATTTGCAGTTCTAACAAACTCTCAAGTGATGCTAAGGTTACTGGCCTGGGGTAGTCAGATGCTAAAAATCAAAGCCTCTGATGAGTTCTGAGACCAAACTAAAACCCTGATCTTACATTAAAAAGTAGAAAACCAACTGAAGCTTTGCCATGCCTCCCAAGAGTCCTAAGGGCTGGAAGCAAGTAAGTCTAAAGCCAGTGATATTTGACTTTAATTCTGGTATAAGCCTTTCCAAAACTTACTATGTCCTAACTTATTCTAATATTGGTGCAATGAGGTATTAGTTGTACTGCAAACATAAGATCTGTTTTCCTTCACTTCAGCTAAAGGTTGGAACCAAATACTATATAGAAACCAAAAAGCAGATAACCTGTCAGAAGAAGGTTAAAGAGGAAAATGGATTAAATAAACCAAGACTTTATTTGTATGAGATTCATCCAGTTGGCTGAAAACTTATTTTAATTTCTTCTGTGATAGTTTCTTTGATTTATTTTTAAATTGAATAGTGCAACTCCGAGTTATTTTGCCAGATGATAATCAAATGCAAATTGAAATTTAATTTAGAATTATTTACTGGCCTTTTAAGTAGTAACAACCTTTCCCCAGCAAATTTTATAAAAGCTAACAAATTAGTTCAATAATTCACTGTTCATTTGTTATGTAATAGCTTTTGGTGCTTGGATGTAAAATGTAATGGAATGGCAGAAAAAGGAGAGCTAGGAAATGTACTATAAAAAACAATTTCTTCATTTAAGTTAAGCTTACAAATAAGAATTTGACAGCCAGCAGAATTGTTTTTCCATTAGACATTACTCCCAGGAGCCACATTACATGGTAAATGAGTATTTTTCATTACACATTCACCATGACATGTTCATAACTGGCTATTTACAAAGTTATTTTACTACTAGGTTAAAAAAAAAATAAGGACTTTGAATTACCCTTTGTGCTGCTTTTATTTTAAACATTAAATATACATATATTTATTGAAATATATATTCATTCTTCTGCCATTGAGTTTCTTGTGGTTTTGTTTTCTGTAGAATGCAATGAGGGCAACGGTTGAACACCAGGAAAACTGGCCTTCCCTTACACCAATCGAGGTGATTGTTGTCTTGGGAAAAGAAGACCTTACAATTAAGGTAACTATTCTGTTTTTCTTTTGGGTTCTCTTGAGATAATTAAAATGAGTTAGTAAGAATAAAGATCTCTGCTTTGGTAGTAGGTCAAAGTCATGTCTATGAGGTGACTTTTAAAGTAAGAAAACATATTTTTTTATGTGCACAAATACATGTTGTTGTTTATGTGTAGGTCTGATGCCTTGTTTGTTTGTTTAAGATTTCAGACAGAGGAGGTGGTGTACCACTGAGGATCATTGACCGCCTCTTCAGTTATACATACTCTACTGCACCAACGCCTGTGATGGATAATTCCCGGAATGCTCCTTTGGTAAGGCCATTTAGATGACTAAATTCATCCCAGATGCATAAGGCAACATAAACAGGGATTACAGAGAAATATATAGGCAGGTAAATCAATTTAGGTAAACTAATGTGAGATATATGAGAAAGAATGATAAAGCAAAATAAAAATGGTGAACCAAATCTACAAGAGATGTTTGATGGGAAGCAGAAGATATTTATCTAGGTTCTAGGATGTCAATATCAGTGAGGATAATGAATCCTCAGTACATTTTGTCACATGAACTTCTTTACCAATAACTAATATTTCCTTTCTAGGCTGGCTTTGGTTATGGCTTGCCAATTTCTCGTCTTTATGCTAAGTATTTTCAAGGAGATCTGAATCTCTACTCTTTGTCAGGATATGGAACAGATGCTATCATCTACTTAAAGGTAACATTTGTCTTCAACAGAAAAATAATATTTCTAAAGATTGCTCTTTTACAGGTCTAAGTTCGATGGTCCATAGTGCATTCCCTAAACTGAGTTAATGAGAATAAGGACCACAAGTCATTTTACATTCTGTTTGGATGTTTGTAAATATACTACTTAATATAGCTACTTACCAAAGAGGAAGCTAGAACAGGTTACCTGCCTTTGGTGAAGCAAAATTGTTTCCCAAGAAGCAAGTTACCAAAGTTTTAGAGTGAGGAAATCCTCATGTGAACTTTTTAAAGCAACTCCTTTTGATATCTGTGAGAATAGCTGCACTTGTGTGTTATTTAAACTTGTGGGAAATACATGTTAATCATGTTCCAGTCTAGAAGACAACAGATACCAAGATACCCAAGACCTTAAGCTGACCTTATTAGAAAAACAGGAAAAGGAAACCTAACTACTCACAAGCTGTCAGTGGGATGCCAGGCATTTCCTGTCTAAACTGTAAAACTTGGTACATTGTTTTTTTCAATTTCTGATAATGCCTCAATTTATTTGTTAAGGTCAGTGTCTTGATTCTGTTAATCATTTGCCATCTATTTCAACTGTAAATACATTTGCAAATATTAGCAACTAAAACATTGAGCTTCCAGGCTCCCATTTTGTACATTGAAATTATTTGCCAAATAGCCTTTGACCATCTGGATTAGTTAATATGTTCATTTCTTAAATAAGCAAAGTCTTTAAACTATTGGAAAAGAGCTTTTTTGTAGATTAATAGATCAGAATAGGCTTCTCACTTTATCACAGATACAGAGGCTTTGCCTGTAAAGAATGGCTTTGCTATTCAACTCTATCATATCCTCAATATCCAAACAAGGGGGATGCGTAAAAATCATAACTTATTATTTATAATTGGATGTTCATGATTTCAGCCACTGTGGCTGAATTGTGGTGCTAATATTTATTTTTTTTAATTTTGTTTCCCACAGTGCCTAGTACACTGTGGGCTCTGGTGTCTCTTATTACTAAATCAATTAAAAGAATGCATTTGAACACTTATATACTTATACCCTTTCACTTATTTTATATAATCACATCAAGTATAGGTTATGGCATGAATAATTTCTTTGGTCTGATTTTTTTTCTTGCCTTCTTTCAGGCTTTATCATCCGAGTCTATAGAAAAACTCCCAGTTTTTAACATGTCGGCCTTTAAACATTATCAGATGAGCACAGAGGCTGATGACTGGTGTATCCCCAGTAAGGAACCAAAGAACCTAGCAAAGGAAAAAGTGGCTGTGTGAAGAAGGATACTCGGGACACTTTAAGGGATCAGAGTGCTTCTACATCAGTGCAGCTTCCTGAACGTTCACATGCAAACTCGTCTTTCCTAAAAACAAGCAGCAGCAACAGAAACTCCTGAATCAAAATATGGATCAAGGAGGAATGAGGCTCATTTTTGTGACATAGGAGAGCATAGTACACTACTACAGGAGTTAACAGAAGGCCAAATCTGTATTTTACTTCACTTAGAACATCTCATGAGTTTCTAGCAGACCCTGAAGAAGAGATAGTCCTCAGATTTCCATCTCTTTAGGACTAGGAAAGGGAATTAATGCAAACACATAGGTTACCAATGTCAGTATACTGAGATTGTAGACCTCCTGTTGATGTCATAAGATAATGGTGTTTACTGAATATCACGTGTCAATATAATAGTATTCTCCTGTCATTCAAAGGATTAGGGCTGAGTTTATATTATATGATTAGAAATGTATGTAAATGTACATCTTCTGTCTGGTAGCGTAGTGCCTAAGGCACTTGACTGCTAACCAGAAGGCTGGTGGTTCAAACCCACAGCCACTCCTCGGAAGGAAGGTTGGGCAGTCTACTTCCATAGTGATATTGCCTCAGAAACCCAAGGAGGGGTTGTTATGAGTCAGGTCCAACTCGATGGCACATAACAACAACAACAACAGGAAGACGAGGCTAGAGACTAAAAATAACATTCACTTTGAATGAGGAGGAAAGAATACATATGTCTTAATCAAAGTTACAGTGGAGGCACTAGGCATATACAGAAACTCAGAAGACAACCTGTTCTGATAAATACAGTTTGTTTATTTTGCTGCTTTTTATATTCACACTTATAAAGTGAACACTTACTGACAGGTGCCTTGTCTTGGATGAGTTTTTAAATATGCAGTCAATTCAGGATGTTGGTAGTTGAAGGGAGAGAAGAATTGCCAAAGTGATAGCAATAGTGCCTTTTATCTTTTTTGTGTTTAAATAGAACAGTAGGTTGGAAAAAACAGTGTTAGGTAAACAAATCATGTATTCACAACCTAACTCCACAGGAAGGGCTATTCTTTACCTGTGGTGGTAGTGATCCAAAGGCATCTAAGAAAAGGCTTTAAAAGAGATATTTTTGATATATGTAATTATATTCTGTACACTCCATCATCAACATGTCTACAAAAAAAAATTCTAATAGTCATATGTCTCAAGAACATTAGAATGTAAATAGTTCTTGAAGTATTTTTAACAAATAGCCTAGAAGTAAGAGTTCTCATGCCAGGATGCACTCACTTGTGAATCATGGAGATTGAGAGCGAATGAATGAGCTCAATGCATATATCACTTTGGGAGGATTAAAGGTATGTAATACACAGGTTGACAGACCAGTCATGAAGAGTACTCTTAAAGAAGAGTGAAAACAGGAAAGAGGGAAGTGATGGAAGAAAACAGTCGGCAGGCATCTTGTCATTTTCCCTACAAATTAATTTCAAAAAATGATCTATAGTCTCATGGATAAATTATCAGCAAGAGGGTGAATTGTTGATGTCTTTCAAAAACAGTAGAACTTTAAATGTCTCTCACTCCTATAGGATAGCTGGCTTTTATGACACAATAAGCTCCTCTGTGTCAAATACATGTTTTAAGAACATAGAAAGAAGTAAAATTTCTCTGCACTGTAAAATAATCGGTACTGTCTATATGTTGAAATGAACATTTTTGTTTAATTTTCTGGTGGCCTAGTGTTGTGGTGATGATGGTAGTAGTAATGGAAGCCTCACACTATTTGCTGTGGACTGTGGATTTTATTATCAGTAACTGTCATGATCTTGGGGACACCGGCTTGCACATTTATTGATTACACAAAACTATTTGTAATAGGTTATTTGAATTTTCCGTTTTTTTACTGAAATCTGAACTAAACATTTTTGTGTGTAAGTACTTGTATTTACCAAACACTCAAAGCAGTTGATTAATTAATTAACCCAAACACTGTGAAGTGTCCTTAAAACACTAGAGGAAAAAAAAAAAAACAGCTGTTAGTATCCCAATAGCATCAAGTGTGTAAATAGCATTCTATAAAATAGAAATATGCCATGTTGGTATTTGTGAAATCTGTGGAAGAATATTAGGATTCCAAACTGAATGTTCAGGACCCCTTAAATTATTCATGTAAAATTATGTTTTTGTCTTTGGCTATGTACAGAAAATGTGATGATTTTTATAATAAATATTTTTACTATAATAATAGTCATAGTTTGTTTAACTTATTTTTCAAATTACTGATAAAGTATCAAGAAAACTTGGAAGTTTCCTCACTTTACCTTCAAGCTAATTAATATGTTGATACATGATATAGCCCTTTAAAAGCATTGAAAGGATCTTCATTTTTAAACAGAAGTCCTTTATAGCAATCTAGAAATTTCTGATTATCCTTTGCTTTCTTGTGTACACTGTAAATAGCACATACCACAATGTGCCTTATCTACATCTAAGACACACATATTCAGGGATCATTTTTGTAATACATATATTCACTTCATTCTTTGTAAATTTACCTTAAAGTTTCTCTTAGTGTCTGTGCTTGCATACCAAATAAAGTAGAGTCCCAAAATAATTAGATAATTGAGGGTCCCAAACAACTTCTGGATTGAAAACCTGAACAACTATCTAAATAACATAGAAATGGGGTAGAAATTACTAAATTCACTTGTGACATATGTTATCTTTGCTAATTTAAGCCTACTTAACCTTTAGAAGGGCACCCTGGTGTTGCAATGGTTTAAATCCTCAACTGCTAACTGAAAGGTCAGTGGTAGGAACTCACCATTTGTTCTATGGGTGCAAGATGGGGCAGTCTCTTTCCATAAAGATTTACAGCTTTGGAATCCTTATGGGGCAGTTCTACTCTGACCGATAGGGTCTCTATGAATCAGAATCAACTTGACACAGTGGGAAATCTTTAGACAACATCGTCTGACCACCTTCATAACATTCTTACTAGCAAGACTCTATAAGACTGCACTAATAATGCTCTCCCATTACTTGAATGCCTTCATTTCTTCTGCTTCTTCCAGGGAAGCAGTACACTGTTTTTGTGAATGAATGCATGTACATACAAGATTTAGCTGGACAATTCCTTGGATTAACATGCTGGAGAGGCAGGGAGTTAGTGCACTCCACACAGGCTCAGAACCATTACCTATGATTTCATAATAGCTGCAAGTCTTCGAGTTCCACGACCCTCCATCTGTACACAAATGCATATTATTTTTACTCAGAGAAAAGTGTGCCCCATACTAATTTTCAAGTATGAAAATTATAGAAAATGGTCAAATTTTCACCAAAATTATACCTTTTTTCCCAAATCTCAAACTTGGCTAGAAATAGTAAGAGCATTTCATTTCAGCTAGCATGACATGTACAGAGAGAGGCCATCATGAACTGATAACTTTGCTGGTGATCTTTGTCATTTCTTTACTCTCCTACTATACTTTAGTGACTGTACTTAAAATTGGATGTGTATCAAAATCCCACGTCCTGAAAATGGACATGGAATCTCCTGGACACTTTTCCTAGTGGAAGGATTGAAAGACTAATTCCACAGGAGCTTATACAGGAAACTCCTGAGCCCCCGCCATGAACACCTAGAACAGAAGAAATCTATTACCATTAGCATTCTCTCCATACATCTTCCTTTTCAGATTTATTATTTTTCAACTTATATCACAGTTACTAAGGTACTCAATAAACAATTACTGAATAAATAAATGCATGAATGAACAAATGAATAAACAATTTTCCCTAGCAAAGCCTTCCTGCATTTAAGTGCAGGTTGGAAATCTGGGTTAAATAATTGTACATCAAATTTTATAAGATTTCATGTTTAAATTGATACTCAAGAAGTTTTACAGTACTCTAGAATATGTTTCCAAGCCCATTCAGTTATAACTGTTCTTTGTTTAATGTCACCTTCCATTGGTACCTTTGCACCATTGAAAATTATCACATATTTCACAAGCAATTAAATAATGGGTTCAAGTTATAACACTAAGAAAATTTCTTGAGCAAGCAAGTTGGAATTTCAGATTTTATGCAAGTTGCCTTCCTTCTTGTTCATCCTGGATTCAAATGAAAACATATTACTATCCATATTTCATGGCTCCTTAATGGAAAGTAGCAACTGACTCTTAATGGGATTTTTCAGGTCCTACGCAAATGCAAATAAACATTAAAAGCCACTAAAAACCAGCAGAAATGTCAATAGCCTTGAGAACATGTCAGATCTATTAAGTGATGTGGAAATGCTATGAGTGGTCTTAGTGAGGTCCAGCAACAAAATAATAAAGTTCATCAACAAATTATGTCATCATTTTTATATTTCACTGCTACTTTTTTATATAATGAAAGTAACACAAAGCTGGTTGTCAAATGATGCCAATATAGCTAGGAGCTATTTATTAGCATGCTACTTTCCCTAAATGTCTATGACATTTATGTCTATGACAAATAATCTACAAAATGGAAAAGTTTTGAGCTTTTTATCAATTCCGTTAAAATTATGCCTTTTATGTGTTTTTAGTCCCAAAATGTACGTTGACATTTGGTAGAATTGCCCTTAATCATGCCTTTTTCCTTTAAGTTCATTTTTAATAATAGCAAAATGTGTTTGAAGTGATAACATGGTGATCTTAAAATGAGAATAAAAATGTGAAGGACAAAAATAAAACCGTATGGCGTGTTCTTAGGCAATGCTCTTTATTATCTGCTTCCTTGTTTTCTCTTCTAACAAAACAAGGAGATGGGTCCAGATGCATAAGGAAGGCACTCCCAATTCTAAAGTGTTTTGATCTATATTTTCTACTAACTCTTTGCTGAACAATCTGCCTCTCACCTCCCTTGCCCTTAGTCCACCCTACACAATTGTGCCCTTGTGAGCCATAGGTTTCCACTGGCTGATTTGGAGAGGTGGATTGTCAGGCCTTTCTTCTTAGTCTGAAAGCTCTGCTAATATCCATTCAGCATTATAGCAACACTGTTTCATATATAGCAGACATCAAAAATATTTCTTTACATGTTTTTGATGAGTTGGGAAGCAATGCAACCATTCCTACTTGAGCAGATTATTCTATTGGTCTAAAACAAAGCCACACATCTTAATATCTTTTACAGTCCTTATCATTTCTTCTCAGTCTGAGAAAGATCAGTGTTTATTTCCAGATGGGTCATAGCTGTAATATATACACATCACTAACTTAAACTTTTTAGTGTGGGCTTAAAACTAAGTCTATGTCCTCCAGGAGCTTAAAGTCCCATTGAAGAGTCAAGATACAAACATGTGAGGAATTAAATCCTAATCAAAGATTTACATAACAGGTCAAGTCAACAATAGAGGAGATATCATAAGACCTAATAGGCATAGCTAGGCAAATGAACTAACATTAATTAATAACATTAATTGTATAGAAATTAAAGGAAGGAAAGTGATTTCAAGCTA